TAAATCTGATATGATAAATGTGAAAAATATAAGCTGTAATGTATTGTTAAATCTTATAAGGACCACAGAAAGAACTGGAATAAGCTATTTATATATGTATACGATATTATGAATGCCCTGCTGATATAATGGGTGCTGCTGCTGATGATAACTAGTACAAATTATGTGCCAAGGACTTTGCTAAAGGCACTCTCTGTGCTTAAGCCATTTCTTCTTTATAACCCTCTTTAAGTTGGGAACTATAATAAATCTAACATTACACCAGTTTCACTGCCGGTCCCCCCTCTAGTAAGTGATGGATTTTCTAAGATTTGGAACTCAGGTCTTTGTCAGCCAACAAAGCCTCTTAACACTAACTACTTACTTTCTAGTATTCCTTATTATCATCAATCCCCTGTGAGAGCCATTTTTATAACCGGGAATTTACTTCCCAGGGATCAACAGATATCCTCTTCATCTGGAATGACATGAATGAGCCTCAGTCTTTAGAGGGCCAGAGCTAACCATGCAAAGAAATGCCATTCATCATGGCAACTGGGAACCCAGAGAACTGCAACAACATCTATGGTTTTTATCAGGTAAGACATCCAGAAAGAAAGTCAGCCTCACTTGTGCATCTGCCTTTTTGGACAGAAAGTCATTACTTGTAATAGTCAGCTGTACTGGGTTCCTCTGTCTGTGTGGTGTTTTCTGACAACTGCAGTGAGTCTTCAGTTATAATCAATAGGAGATATTTTATTCTCCCTTCAATTCCTTTTCCTTCATGTTGAACTTGATGAATTTTTAAATATTATACATAAGTTGGATATAGCTCAAAACTTTCGACACATGTGGTGTATAAACATACACAAAGGTAATTAAAGAAATGTTTTTAAAATGTCACAAAAATCCAAAATTATAGCACATTAGATTCATACCAGGAAGTAAGATTAGAATACAGATCATATAATTTTAATCAGTATATTTTTTCAAATTGTACAAAGCTTTCCTTAGTACTTAGGCTTCTAATAAAGGTAGTAGAAATTGTTTCTATTTGCCATTCCATTCAAAGATTGACATGATTTGCCGTAATTTATACCGCCATGTTTCTTTGTTATTTTTAGAATGTTGACTATATGAGCTTTGGCCGCTCCACCAATTGGTATTTTCCATGGGAAAGCTGCTGGCTAGATAGAGCATGGTATATGTTTAGAAGTATAAATGTTTACTTCTTAACAGCCTGCTGCTATACACTGAAAACACCCTAACATTCGAGAATTGTAGGCCAAAGCAGGTCACCTTAAACCTCTCCTGAACCTGTTTTTTTTTAACCAATGAAAACTTATCTGTCCCAGAGATTATTCTGTATAAAAGAAGATTATATGAAGAAAATATTTTAAAATTCCCTACACTGAATAAATGGTAAGCTTATTTTTCATAGTACTAGGGATCAAACCAGACCTCAACATTTCTAGGCAAGCATCTACCTCTGAGCGGGGCAACCCCAGCCCTGTTTTAAGTATTAAGTTCATTCCCTATTGTTATTAAAGAAATTTTTTTCAGCTGGCAGAGTGCTAATCAGTTAGAAGTGCTGCCTAGCAAACATGAAAGCCCGCTGAGTTCAAGCTCCAGTACCACCAAGGAAGGGAGGGAGGAAGGAAGAAATTTTCCCATCCTTTTTAATAGGGAAATTTAGAGTATTTTTCACTATAATGCATCAAAATACTTGAATGGATTTAAATGTTTTTATTTCCCATTCTACCTACTGTTTCTTTCTTTCTTTGTTTTTTTTTTTTTTGGCATTACTGAGGCTTTAAGCTCAGGGCCTTCACCTTGAGGGGCGCGCCGGCGGTACGGAGAGTACTTTGCCACTCTACCAGCTCTGTTTTTGTAGATTTTTTTGAGAATAGGGTTCAAGAACTTTTTGTGGCGGGCTGGCTTATACATGATCTTCCTGATCTCTGCCTCCCTCGGTAAGCTACGAATCAAGGCGTGAGCCACCGTTCCTTGCCCTACCTACTGTTTAATTTTCTGCAATGTTAGATAGCTTATTGAGGATGTTGGGCATGATGCCTTAATCCCTGGTCATCTCTTTTGAAAAATTTTTCTCTATTGACTTGACAGCAATGGCGTACTGGCAGAAGGGCTGATACAACGATCGTAAAGGGAAGGAGAGACCGCCTTTGGTTCTTTCACGTTCTTTCTTTGCCGGATCACAAAAAAGTATGGGTAAGGAATAGTTCATTATTGTCATATTGAAAAACACCAGTTAGCCACCGTGTTCTTTTTTTGACCCATTTATGATATCTGCTGGCACTGTTGTTCTTTTTTCCAGTAATTGGTGCCTTAGAACTTTTGATTGGAAGAGAGTATATGCACCCTGAATGTTGCATTTTTGTCCTTAAAGCAGAAGTAATTCAATTGTTAATCAAGTTTAATACTTGCTTCTCACTAAAAAAGTGGCCCCAGCTTTAGTAGTTGAGAAAAGTGAACTTCACTGTATCAATTTGCTGACATGGTTCATCTTCTGATGCTGTCTCTTTGACTTATCAAAACCAGGAAAATATATTGCTAACATAATCCTTCAGCACCTGTTCCCTTAGCAATATTGGCTTTAAAAATAAGACCTGGCTGTTTGCTTGTGATAGGGTCATCCGTTATAATTGGATTCCAGTTTTAGTAGCTGATGCAGGTCTAGTCAACCTGACCATGCTTGTGGCGGCTATTTTTTAAGTCCCTGGTCCTGTCAGTTATTTTATTGAGAGTTTTAGGTCCTAATTTGAAGAACCTAGCCCTCTACTGTAGCCAAAGACATTAGGGCTTTTTACTGCTGTCCCTGAAAAGCAGCCCCTGCAGTGTTCAGCCCAAAGCACAAACTATTGTCATCTTGGCAAATGTTCATATACAGAGATTGCTCACCTCAGCATTTAGTCCTTGAAACCAAAAAGAAATCCTAAATATGTTGTTACATAGAGAATAGTATGGAATGGCCCTCATAGGATTATCATGAGGCTGTTTTGTTTGGTTTTGCTTTTTTGAAATAGAATAGATTATCAATGAAGGCTATTTTGGTTTTGCTTTTAATGCGATAGGAAATAATTTACTAGAGAAAGGATAGCTTTTTTTTCAGTTAAAATGGTTCTGACTCAACTGGGTATATATGAGGAGGAAAATGAATGCCTCAGCTTACCTTACAGCCATATTTAAAAATTAACTGTACTACACAAAAATTAACTCAAGATGAAAATGTAAAGCTAAGTTATAAAAGCTAAAATGAGCAAAAAGAACTCTGGAAGAAAACATATGGACAAAATCTTGGTGACTTTGAAGTAGGAGGAAACACAAAAAAAAAAAAAACGCAGAAAATATAAATTAAGAATTAATTTGAAATTAAAAAAATTCATCAACATTACTAACCTTTCAAAGATATGGTGTTTTAAACAATAAAAAGGCAAGCCACCCATTGGAAAAATATTGCAATACATATTTTGTATTTGTCAAAAGATCATGTCCTAATGCACAAATAACTTTTAGCAACTCAATAATAAGACAGACACCTATGTTAAGAATGAGCAAAAGAAGCCAAGATGCAGTGGTACACTCCTGTACTCCCAGCAAATCAGGAGTCCTTGGTAAGCAAGAGGATTAAAAGTTCCAGGCCAACATAGCCAGACCTGTCTCAAAAAAAAAAAAAACAAAAAAAAGAAAGACAAAAAAAGAAAAAAAGACGCAGGCCCTGGGTGGCACCACACTGTCCTCTCAACTACTTGGGAGGCTGAGGCCAAGGAAATGACCTTGTGTCTAAGAACAGTCAAGGCCAATCTGTCTCAAAAAATAAAAGCAACAAAAAACGAGGAAAAAGATTTGGAATAGACCATTTTACAAAAAGAGTATATGAATGATCAACCACAACCACATGAAGAAATCACTCAGCATCATCAGGAAAATATAATAAAGTAAACCACAGAGATGTAAAACCACTTCACACCCATCAGAGTGCCTATAACTAATAAAAAACTTGGTACTTTCACGATTCTGCTTGTTGAAGATGTAAAATGGTGTAACCACTCTCCCAAAAAAGTTAAAATCTTAAACCAATGTCACCTAAGATTTGTACACAATGATTATAACATCTTTGTTTATATTAATCCAAAACTGGAAAGAACTCATATGTTATCAATTGATGCACAGATAAACAGCTTGTGATAGGTTCCACACCAATGGACTATTATCATTATGCTTGAAGTGAAGAAAACCTAGAACACAAAGAATACATATTTATGTTTTTATTTAATATGACATTCTAGAAATGAACTAAGGCTGTGATCATAGAGATCAACATCAGTATTTGGTTGGAGTGGGTGGTTTGTAGAACTGAATAAGCCCAAAGGAACTTTTCTAATTATGGAAATGTTCTGTGGTCTTCTTGGTGCTGGTGGTTACATGGATGCACACATTTTTCAAAACCTATTAAGCTCTTTATTTTCATAGAAACATTTATTGTATGGAAATAATGGTCTGTCATAAGTTTAAAACAATATTCCTCCTATCATTAAAACTTGAATTATACCTTCAAAAATAGTTGCTATGACTGGGAGAGTGTCTCAGCATGGTAAGCAGTGCCTACTTAGCAAGGGTGAGGACGGCTGAGTTCAAGCCCCAGTAGCTACAAATATTTCAGAATTTTTCATGGAAAGCCTGTTTGGTGGATTTTAATAACTTTTTTCATATTAGAAATTGATGCATTTCACTGTAGAAAACCAGAAAAATTTCTCTTTTTTAAAGTAAAGACAACCTATTTTCCCTTTAATTAATTTTTGTCTTTTACAATAAGGAATCTTAATATAAAATTGAATGCATGGGCAAAATTTTGTGATTTTTTTTTTTTTTTTTAATTCCTTGTTGCTGGTGACCATAAAGGGTGCAGTGTGGACAGGCGACAACACAGCAGAATGGAGTTACCTGAAAAATTTCTTATACCAATGTTACTTAACTCTCAACATTACTCGGAATTCCTTTTTGTGGAGGTAAATAAATCTTGTCTTGAGGCTTAAAAGAGAGAGAAAATGAAAAGTGCGGGTATTTTTCCTCTTAGCTGATCACCAAATCCGCTTTCTCATTAGCTGTTTTGAGACATGTTGGTAACTGAGTCCCTTTTGAACTACTTTTTTCTTCTTCAAAGTGGGAGAGTGGAGAGAACTACAAAGAATTTAGCAAGCAGAAGTGAGTCTGGGCTGGGGTGGTAAGCTCAGCAGAGCTCTTGCCTAGCATGTGCAAGGCCTGAGTTCATTTCCCAGCACCACAGCACGGAAAAAGTCAGCCTTAAAGACATCCTTTTCTGGCTCATGCTAGCGTTTTAAAATTCTGTACATATTTTAAAACTGTGGGTGTTTTTAAAGTCTGTGCTCTTGGAAAAGATAATTTTAGGTTAAGTGTCTGATGGTTTTGCCGTTCCCAGCATTCCTGAGAAATTCAGTGGCAGAAAGAGATACCAACTAAGGTACTCAGTATGGCTGCAGTTCGCAGGGCTCCTTGTTTCTGCAGGACAAAAATAAATTATTATCACTTTTTTGGTATTTGTGTTTTTATTACGTACATACGAAGTATATATCCTGCCCAAGGGTCGGCATGAAATTCTACCTAAACCTCTAAACTCTGATTATTTGTTGCTGTTTAGTTTCTTTCTTTAATTTTTATCTTGGTTTAGCCATGTTGTTTTCAAAGGAAATCAATTTAACCAGCTATTCCCCACAACACACCACACTACACACATCTTAGTCAGCAGATATTTTGCAATTTCTGGGTAATATTGCTCAGGAGTGTATGATCATGCAGCAAAACTTCTGACCTTTTTAACAACAAAGAATATCAGAGGCAATCTGTCCCTAATCTCCAGACAGGCTGGGTTTTGTAGTGGTGTGTCCCCTATTTGAGGCACAGTTTGAGCCTAGTCATTCTGAGTGTAGCATGTGCATTTTCTCTCTCAGTCTGCAGTGGCCTTATTTTACCTGTGTGCATCATTTATTCAAAGCCTGGCTGCTCATTTGGCCTTTCTTTGCCCAACGCAGCTGATGTGGGCGGCTTCATTGGGAATCAAAGAGGCAGAGCTATTAGTGCGTTGGTACCAGGCAAGAGGCCTATCAGCCCTTCTTCCGTGGCCATGCACCATGAATACCAAGCGGCGGGAACCCTGGCTGTTTGGGGGAGAGAACACCAGGCTCATCCGCGCAGCTATTAGAGAAACGCTACACCCTCCTGCCCTATTTTTTATTCTCTGTTCTACTACCGCACATGTGGCTTCTGAACCTGTGCAATGAGGTTAAAAAAGAATCCTCCATCTGGGGACGCCAGCAAAGCCAATCCATAACAGATCCTTTCAGTGTTAGGGAACTGGAGGTGAGTACACAGTGGTTTTAGAGGAAAAGTGAAGAAAAGCCATATTGTTTAATCAAATTTCAGTGGGCTTACTATCAACTATACCCAAGGTGCTAGCTGTTAACGGAAACGGAAAAAATGAAAGCTAGATTCCCTAACACTTGTGATTAAAGTATCAGTATTTGCTAGAAGATAGAAATAGCATTTTCAAAAGTATGGGAATGGTTTTTGTAACTGATTCACTCCATGTTTAACCATCGCGCATCCTCTCATAAAGAATATCTTAACCTGTTTTGTGTGGTGATTCTCACTATAATCCCAGGGAGTCATGAGTTTGAGACGCAGTCCAGGCCAAAATAAGCAAGATGCTGTCCTCAAAAACAAAAAAGGGCTAAGGGCATAGCTCAAGTGGTAGAGTCCTGCTAGCACGCCTGAGGTCCTGGGTTTAACACCCTGTTGCAGAAAAAAACTACAACTTACCCTGCCAATCTGAGACTTTATCCAACATCGCGCTTAGGGTGAACTGTTCCAGGTTTTGGAGGTGAACATTTTTTCTAGTGTGTAACCAACTTTGTAAGTTCGAGAACAATGCACACATAGGCACATAATCACACTTAAGACTTTACAGAGTCAGAAGTTCCTAAATTTTGGGTCAGTTAGAATACCTGGGGAACTTTTAAACCTAACAGGTTCCAAAGGGCACATCTCCAAAGCCTTCTAGGAATCTTCCTTGGGTAGTTCTTCAGGAATCGACCTTGGTTAGAAGTTTCTTTGGTGATTCTAAGACATGAACCAGGTTTAAAGACCACTGCTTTGTTTATCATTCAGTAGAAAGAGAAATATATTAATACAAAGCAGGTGAATAAACTAAAAATAAATTTCCTTATTAAAAAAATCTTTCTTCTTGTGAAATTGAAAATTACTAGAACCATTTAAAGTTGATATACAATAGATAGATATTGGAAAGTTTTGTTTATTTTTTATGTACCTGAATGGCCTCCCTAGTAATAAGTTTGTGTGAAAACATTAATCCATCAAAAACAGAATACTCGCTGGTGCTCGTGGCTCCCAGTGCCTGTAAATCCTAGCTACTTAAGAGGCAGAAGATCAGGTGAGGATCATGGTCAAAGCCCAATGCAGGAGGAGAATTCCAAGATGGCGGCTAGAGGGAGAAGCAAAAGCGACCCTCCTATAGTGAAATCTTGGAGAGACCGCTGGAGACACACTTTGCAGGCATAATCACGAGAAAAGGCATAACTTTGACCCCTCCACATCTCCAGCGGCGCAGAGAATCTCCACTTCACGTTAAACGGAGAACGAGGAGGCCCCGGGCCGCAGTGGCCGGCGCCCATACGGCTTGGGAAGACGGCGGACCAGGTGAGCTTTCGCGGTACCCGGGCCCCCCAGACAAGCCTGGGCCAGAGCAGCAGAGCCCCCTGGACAGACTGACCTCGCACCCGGAAAAAAAGAAGAACTGAGTACTAAGCAATAAGAACAGTTAAGACACGCTGGAAAGAGGGTGGGGCGCCCTGAGCGCTGAAGATTGGGGGAAGGGAATCCTTCCAGGGACTGTAAATAAACGAGCCGGCGGGCCGGAGAGGCTCTGGCGGGAGCGGGGCGCGCCCAGCAACCAGGAGCGGGGAACGCTTGTGAGAGGAGGGAAGAACCACTTCCCACGTGAACTGTAAATAAACCGCAGGCCTGACAACGCGGGCAGTGTCACCTTTAGTGCTTGGAAGGGGAAAGCTGTAGCAGAGGCTCCCGCACAGGGAACTCTGAGCAAAACAAACGCCTGTGGGACCAGGTGAGTGCTAAGCTCACCCCAGAGATCTGCATAAATAACGCCGCCAGCTACAGGCTGAGAGCAGCAGGTCAGGCAAGCCACAGTGCAGATACCACTCTCAGAACTGTCCTCCAGACGCTTTTTTTTTCTTTTTCTCCCTACCTTTGATGAGAAACAACTGAATTACACCTGCAAGCCGAAAAAACTTACTGAAACTGTATTGCATTTGAACTGGGGACACTTGGTGGGGTTTTTTTGTGTGTGGTGTGTGTGTGGTGTGTGTGTAGTTTGCTTTTGCATCCCTTTGATGAGACAACTACAGAACAACATCTGAGCACCATCTCCAGGACTGGAGATTGAGACGGACACCAAATTATTAAGACTGAAACTTCATTGCATTAAACTTGGAAGTTTTGGTTTTTTTTTTTTTTAATTTTCTATTTTTCCATTTTATTTTAATTCATTTTTATATATTTACTTTCATTACTTATTTTTTAATTTTTTTTATCTTGATTTCAATCCTCTCTCTGTCTCTCTAATGTCTGTTCAGCTTACTGTCGATTAGTACACTAACCTCCCTGTTTATACTTTGAAACTCTCTTGTCTGATACCTTGTTCTGCTTTCTCCCTCTTGTCTGTATATTTGTTTCCCTTTTCTTTAACTTCTTGCTTTCCATCTCAGCTCACCTTCCATTCTAATATTACCATTGTTATTATTACAAGCTAGAAAATACTTAATTGCACACAGTACAGGGACAGTAACAACACCAAGGACAATGACGGAAGACAGAAAAAAAAGGGAAACCAGTTTCCCCACAGCAAAAAATTAGTACAGGAACCAGAGGGAATGAAGAGAACAGAAACTCAGATCCAGACTCCAACAAAATGAAGATAAACTATGCCAAAGACCCAATGAAAGCCCACAAGAATAATTTAAAAGAAGACATACTACAGTACTCAATGAGAATTTTATAGAGATGATACTGGATAGGGTCAACCAAAATGTACAGGAGACACTCAAGAAATTCCAAGACAATAAAAATAGAGAATTTGAAAAAGCAAAAGAAGAAATAAAGGAAACCATAGAAGCACTGTATAAACACCAAAGTGAAAGAGAGAACACAATGAATAAATGGATAAATGAACTCAGGACAAAAATAGACAACAATAAAGAAGAAAACCAGCCAGGATATGGAAAACCTCAGAAAAAAGAACGAAACAGAATGCAAAACAAAAGGAAGGCCAATCCAGCAGAATAGACAAACAGAAGACAGAATCTCAGAACTTGAAGATGAAATGGTAATTAAAGGAAAAACTGAAGAACTATTAATTAAACAACTCAAGACCTGTGAAAAGAAAATGCAAGAACTCACTGACTCCATCAAAAGACCAAACTTGAGAATCATGGGCATCGAAGAAGGAGAAGAGGTGCAAGCGAAGGGAATGCGTAATATATTCAACAAAATAATAACGAAAATTTCCCAAATCTAGAGAAAGATATTCCCATACAATGCAAGAGGCCTCCAGGACACCAAACAGACCAGATCAAAATAGAACTACCCCACAACATATCATCATTAAAACAGCAAGTTCAGAAACTGAGGAAAGAATATTGAAGGCTGTAAGAGAGAAAAAACAAGTAACATACAAAGGTAAACCCATCAAAATCACAGCAGACTTCTCAACAGAAACATTAAAAGCAAGAAGAGCGTGGGGTGAGATCTTCTGGGCACTGAATGAAAATAACTTCAACCCAGGATACTCTACCCAGCAAAACTATCATTCAAAATAGATGGAGCAATAAAAGTCTTCCATGATAAGCAGAAACTAAAACAATATGTGACCACAAAGCCACCATACAAAAGATTC